ACTTTCCACCCAATGGCCTATGATCTTTCTGCATTTGGCGTCATTGTATGTGTTGCGTGAGTCTGAAGAGGAACTTATATACTGGTATCGGATATATGGACTAATATCAGACTTGTGGGCTTGATCTGGACGGGGCTGGGTTGTTTTCTTAATGTACAATTACTCTTTATATAAAGCTCTTTCTGATACACATATGAGTGTCTATGAATTTGTTTCTCTATACAATGCAAGCTGGCTGGCTACGTTACTCTGGGTACATGAGAGAAACAAATCCACAGAAACTCATATGTACAAGAGCGAGTTTTATATAAAGAGTAAGTGCACATCAAGGAAACATCCCAACCCAGCGCTGCCCATAAGTCCGACATTACCCCATATGTCCGACACCAATCCACAAAGTATTCCTCCATCTCACAAAACAGACGCAATGATGCCGACTGCAGGAGGAAAGCCAAATCAGTGAACACGTAAGCATCTCAGCACTGGCAGGAGTCTCCACACACCTGCTCCAGCACCCAGGGCTACATCAAGGTAGGTCCATGCAGCTTCTCCTCAGGGATGTCTTACAGGAAGTGAGTCCTGCCAGCTGAAGCAGGGAACTGGTTAAGGCAGCTGCACCCTGGTCTGACTATCAGAAAGCAAGAGACCTGAGAACTAGAAAGGCAAAGCTCACCAAGCCATTTTTCGCTCTGCCCTTCAATTAACCCCACATGTGTTTATTGGCCAGGTTGGCACAATAAACTTAAATTATCTCACCAGCTGAGGTGAGCTAGGAAGTAGGACTTCTAGATCCAGAGCACCCGAGCACGGAGAGAGGGAGGGGCACAAAGAGAGTGTTGTCCTGCCCCACAGTGTTCCCCCTGCTACTTAATGAGGGGAGAGGGGGAAACAGTCCTCAAGTCTGACCCATTCCTGGGGCTCTCCCATCATTCTGGGGCCTGGCGGCACAGAGTCAGGAAGAAGAAGGCTGTGAAGAGGCACAGAAGAACGGTTTTCTTCTCTGAAACGGAGGCCAAGTCACCTCAACCACCTGGCTGAGCACAAGTCCCAGCTCCATATACCTGGCCCTAGCTGGCTCCAAGCATCTGCTGCTGCCCAGAAGCTTCAGCCACCAGGGGCTGTGACTCCTGGAGCCCAGCGCTCCCCACCCCCATCCCACCACTCCACTCAATCTCCCAAGCTCTTCCTTGCCCCTACTCCCCATACACCCCCGGGACCCAGAAAGGTGGGGGGGTGGGGCTGGTAGTCTTGTATTTTTTTTTTTTTAAAAAGACTCTTTAATTTTTTTTTTAGTTGCTCTCAAATTAACTCTGACTCGTGACCACGTCATAGGTGCGTGCCATCGGGCTTGCAGGCTGGCTTTCTAGACGCGGAGCACCAGGCCTTTCTTCCGAGTGCCTCTGGGTGGACTCGAATAGCCAATCGTCCAGCGATTAGCAGCCCAGCTTGTGAACAGTGCCACCACCCAGACACTGGAGCCACAGCAAAAGGAACCCCAAGGTGCGGAGGTGGGGAGGAGTCTTTAAACAGCTCAGTCAACGAAGCTGCACCTCCCAGCCGAGGCTGAGAGTGACCTTGCCTGCGGGTGGGGGGTGGACACCGTGACCTTTGGAGGGCCAGCCCGAACATGAACAAAAGGCAGCTGGACACCTTCCCCACTTGTGACCTCTCCCTGAGGGGGCAGCCTGTTGCTCAGAGATGGGAGAGGGGACAGAGACAAGGGCCACCACGGTGCCATGGAAACAGGCCTGGCAGAGACACGTCGGTACTTCCGGCAATTGCCGGCTCGTGACAGGATCTAAAGTGTTTGCAGACAGTACCTCCACGGCCAAAAGGGCAAGTCGACAGGTTAGCAAAAAGAGGAAGAGGCAGCCTAAAGGTGCTGTTCCCTGAAATAGGAAACCTCCCCTGGCCCCCCCAGCTCATCCTCAGCCACCACCTCCCTTCCCCCATGCCACCTCATCACCCTCCTGCAAGTCCAAGCCTGCCACCCCTCCACCACCACTCCAGGCACCCCGATTCCCTGTAACTCACCCCCTAGCCCTGGCTCCCCCATCCTTTCTGGCCAGTCTGCTCTCTGCTTCCACCAGCTCGCCCTGCCTCCCTGCCCCATCCTGCCCACCCACTGTGGCCCAGACCAGTGCCCACGGCCATCTGCTGCCTTTCAAGGCCTGCATCCTCCCATCCTCCACTCCTCCTTCCAACCCCTGCTTCAGAGCTGCCTGCACCCCGCACTCCGCACCCTCCTCTGCCCATGCTGGGCTCCACATCCTCTGGGAGCTGAGCCCAGGGGCAGGCACATTCCTGGCTCTGGGGCAGGCACAGAATGGAAATTGGAAACATTCCAAGAGTCTGAAAAGCAAGCCCCTGATCCCTGGAGGCACTGCTTAGGTCAGAGGTCTCAGCCTCAAAACACACCCCCCCCAGAATCTCCACCCAGGAGAGGGTCCATCGAGGGAGGTTTTAGCAGGGGTGTGGGGGTGGTCTTACAGAGCCTCCTCTCCTCGGGGAGCAGATGAAACCCCAAACCACCCAGAAAGGGATGTTTGCTTGAATCTCTAGAAACACCTCACTTGGGGAGCCCTTCCTATGGACCCAGTGCTTTATTCAAGAATTCTAGAACTATCTTACTTAACACAACACCCTGATACAGAAACAGGGGCTCAGAGAAGTGAGGTCATTTACCCAAGCTCCCTCTGTGGGCAACATCTCCGTGTGTCACTTCAAACCCTTTGGGCCCCACCTCTTGCTTCAGCTACTTCTGCAGGGACCAGTGTCCTGCAGGTCCTCACCAGCATCTTACAGGGGCAACTTGCCAGGGCCTCTCCGTAGGCAGCTCCAGGCCTCCTCCGTATCTGCAGTGGGAGATGCCCAGAGACACTCACTCAACCCTCACAGCCTGAAGTACATGGGAGTCAAAGCCCACAGCGGCACCTGCTCAAGGAGGGCAAAACACGTGTGATTTCTTCCCTAAGCAGGTAGTTCTGAAAGGCATCCCCAAAGCTCCTCAGAAGACCACCCAGAGGACCCCAATTGCCATCAAGTCTATTCTGACCCCTCGTGGAGATCACATGCACGGCAGAATGGAACTGTGCTCAGAAGGGTAGGTTTTCAAAGGTGAGGGGTTTGTTTGTTCATTTTACCGGTAAGAGCTCAAAACACAGGGAATGCAGGACCCATAAGCCCCTCTGGACCAATCATGAGAGTAGCAATACCAGGAGGGGAAGGGAAGGTGGGGGGAGAAAGGGGAAACTGATCACAATGATTGATATAGAACCCCCTCCCATGGGGACAGACAATAGAAAAGAAGGTGAAGGGAGACAGCAGTCATTGTAAGACATGAAAAAAAATTGATAAATTATCAAGGGTTCATGAGGGAGGGTGGGGGGAAATGAGGAGGTGATGCCAAGGGCTCAAATAAAAAGAAAATGCTTTGAAAATGATGATGGCAACATATGTACAAAATTGTGACAAGAACTGTAAGAGCCCCCGATTAAAAAATTCAACAACAAAAAAAGTGGATCAGCAGGTCTTTCTTCCGAGGTGTCTCTGACAGGACCTCTAGCCTTTCAGTTAGCAGCCAAGCAAGTTGGCCCCCAAACAGAATGCTGGTAGGCAGAAAAGAATGCATCTTCTCATTGCCTTCCGGACCCCACTCCAGAGATCTCTGCATGCCAGCCTTTATCTCAGACTCTCTGGTGGGGGATGGGGGGTGGGGGGAATGCAGGTGGAGGTACAGTAAGGGGCTGGTGGTCAGGGGCTCAGACTCAGGTCTGAGTGACAACACCGGGATAAGATGGGCCTTAGGTAGCTCTGTGAAGCCTGCTGCAGCCAGCTCTCACCGAAATACTCCCCACACCCCCACCGGCAGGACTCAGAAAGCCCAGTACATCTGCTTGGGGGTGTGGGTAAGCCTTCCCCCCCCCCATCCCCAACCACCAACTCCTGCCTAAGTCACAAAGATGGGGTAGCACGCTCCCTACCACTGCGGACCCCCCACCCCCAGTCACTCCTGGCTCCAGCTTCAGGTAGCTCTGCTAGTTGTTTACTCCTCTCCCTGCAGCAGGAAAGCCTTCTCCCCTCGCCCTGGGAAACTGAGGCATGGGGGTGGGGGTGGGGGGTGGGCCTGAAGGACCGTTCCAGAGTCACAAACCGTGAAAAGAACTCAAGCGCCCTGGCACCCAGCCCGGGCCGGTGCTATTATTCTCTGGGCGACAATGGGCGCCACTCCAGAGAGGCAAATCCCAACATTAGGACCAGGCAGCGCTTGCATTCCCGATGGATCTGCAGGGGAGCTGGAAAATGCAGAGGAGAGAGAGGCTACTACCCCCTCCCCAACCTCCCAGGTCTGGGCTCACATCGGGTGGGGGTCATGCCACAGTGGGGTCCCGCGAATACACCCCTGCCCTGAATGACCCCACCCAGAGCCGGAAGCCTGAAGCCCTCCACTCAGGGCCTCCAGAAATGAGCATCCGGCTGGAAGTGTCCCGGAAGGCCTGCCAGCCCCACCATCCTAGCCCACCGTCTGCAAAAGGCACGGGTTGGGGTGAGGGCGGGGTGAGGTTTGTGCCCCTTCGGAAATGAGTGAGTAAATAAAGCGACTCAGGCTGGCTGTCTACTGGGCTCTCCTGGGACCCCCCGGGCTTGTTCTTGCTCTCACCACCTGTAAACACCCCAACCTCGCCCTCCACCTCGCTCAGCGCCCCTTGCCAGAGTCTTGGACCGGGGCTGGACAACATGTCCCTCGCGCGCGCCCCGATACACGGACAGGTGTGTGAGACGCCCCTCCCTGCACGGGTGTCTGAGGACAGTCACCCACCTCCCAAACAGCCCACGGCGGGTGGACCCTCACACACATCCAGACGGACTGGGATTCCCTTTCCAAGCACACACCTTCTCGCTCACGACAAGGCGCAACGCCACGTCCAATCACACCCAGGACCCGCACGTCCTCCTCTGGGCTGACCCTGGAGTGACCACCCAGCCCTGGCGCCACTGACCTTCTGTGTCGCCTGGCGCGTCGGGCTCACGCTCCCACGGGGACGGAATGGCGGCAGGCAGTCCAACAGCTGGCCACCCTGCCCGCGCGCTCGCAGCGGCGGCGGCCACCCCACTCCATCCGGACCCGAGCCCCCTCCTGCTGGGCGGCGGGCT